TCCATGCAGTCCAGCCGCTCAGGACTACTGCAGCCTTGTTGATGTTTTTGGTGCTTGTTCTGTCAATTTATGTGAGAGGAGTGTTGACATTGCCAACCAAAAGTGTGTGTTTATTTTTCTCAGTTCAGTTAGCTTTTGTTTCAGGTACATTTTTTATTGTGGTAGAATATATATAACATAAAATTTACCATTTTAACCACTTCTGAGTATACAGTTCAATGTCATTAAGCACATTCACACCATTGTGTTGCTTCATGCACTTGGATTTTAAAGCTCTCTCATTAGATACCTGTACATTAAAGATTGTTTTGTCTTGTTGAATTAATCCTTTGTCACTATAAAATGTCTTTTTTTAATCTCTGATAATAATCCTTTGGTAGTAACATAACTACTCCCGCTTTTTTATAATTAGAGTTTGTATGGTATATGTTCTCCATTCTTACTTTTTTTATGCTTTTATATCTAAAATGCATTTCCTTATATCTAAAGTAGGTAGCCTGAAGTTGGGTTCTACTTTTGTATCCAGGATGACAAGCTCAACCTTCTAAATGGCATATTTAGACCGTTTATATTTAATGTGATTATTGATGTGGTTGGGCTTAAGTCAAGGTTTCTCAACCCTGATGCTGTCAGCCTTTGGGCGTGGGGACACAGTCCTGTATTGCAGCATGCTCAGCAGCATCCCTGGCTCCACCCACCAGGTCCCAGCAGTGCCTCCCAAGCTGCAGCGACCTCCAGGCTTGCCCAGCGGCCCGGTGCCAGGGGAGGCGGAGCTGCCCCTAGTTGAGAACAGATGGTTAAGTCTACCGTCTTGGTCATCATTCTCTACTTATCCTACTCATTTTTATACCTTGTATTCTTTTTCTTTTACTACTGCCTTTTGGATTGTTTTTTTCATATTTCTATTTTATGTGCACTATGTTTTGGTAGGCAGTGTTTTATTTTTACAGCAGTTTCTCAAGGGTTTTCAATATGGGTCCTTTAACTTGCATCAGTTGTGAAATACTAAGAAAAAATATGTGCAGATCTAGGTCTCTGTTGCTGGTTCCTGGCACAGGGCTCCTAAACGCCCCTTACGATTCTAAGCGATAAGAGCATTAGGAGTCTCTCTCTTTCTGGTATTTGGTCTTTGACCCCATTCCCAGCACAGGGCTCTGGACGTCCTTGCAAGTCCCTAAGTAACCGGAGCAGCAAAGGTATTTTTGAAGTGCTGCGCAAGACTGAGCGGACCCCTGGATGAGGGCTGGTTGATTCAGACTTTTCCCCCCCCAAAATATGTATAGCGCTGTAAATATATTTTCTCTTACGATCTTTCTAATAACATTTTACTTTCTTTAGCTTTATTGTCAGAATACAGTATATAACATATAACAAAATATAAGCAACGGTTTACTGGAAAGCCTTCTTGTCAATAGTAGGCTATTAGTTATGTTTTTGGGGAGTCAGAAGTTATAGATGAACTTTCAGTTGCATTGGGGAGGGTGGGGGTCAGCATCCCAACCCCCACCTTGTTTAGGGGTCAACTGTAGTTTTCTTATGGTGTCTCTGTCTGACCTTTCTCATCATAGAGGTAACTGTCTAATATTTTAATTCTATTTTTTACTACTCAAATTGGATATTATTATTGTGTTTTATAGTTATTGTTTAGATTTCCTCATGTTTTTACCAACTTCTCCATTCATCATTCCTTGTTTCATCTCAATTCTTCCCTTTGCTACCATTTCCTTCTTTCTGGACTATTCCCTTCAGTAGTTCTTGTATTGAGGTCTTTTCGTGGTAAGTACTCTTGATTTTTTTGTTTGGCTGTCTCTCTGTTTTTGAATTGTTTAGATAGGTATAGCATATAGGCTAACAGTTTTTTCTCCTAGCACTTTGTAGATCATATTTCACTATCTTTTTGGACTGCTTGCTACTATTAAGAAGTCTGCTTTTTAATAATTATTCATATAGGCTTATTTGCCTTTTTATGACATACTGTCTTCTTGACTTTGAGGGTTTTGTCTCACTGCAAGATAGATATGTGTGTATTTTTTTTTTTCCATGACTCTTGTTCCGGCTTGTGCTCCTAAGGGTATAGGTCTTCCATCAGTTTGGATCATTTTTAGCCCTCATCTCTGAAGATACTGCCTTCTCTTTTCCTCTCTTTTCTTGCCTTCTAGCATCCGGATTAGGTATAGGTTGGATCTTTGTATTCTATCCTCCATGACTCTTCTCTTTCATATTTTTATCTTTCCATTGCACAGATCTGTCATCTAGTTCAGTATTTTCTTTCAGCTGTGACTAATCTGCTATTTAATCCACCACTAAGGTTTTACGTTCTTCTGATTGTTTTTCAGTTCTATTTGACTATTTCCAGTAGTTGCTTGCTCTTATGTTTCAGTTTCCTTTTATATTTCTTTTAAACCTTTAAGCATATTTCTTTTTATGTTCTGGGTCTCTCCAGTCTAAGTGAAATACTGGCTGAGGGTGAGGGGCCGCCCATTTCTGCTACTGCTTTTCCTAGTTGACCCTTCCTCGTGGGAGCTGCTTTCCTGTGGTCGGTTCACCTTGCGAGCCGCACAGCCGGTCCTGCCATGTGCGGCGCTGAGGGAGCTGGCCTGGCCCTGGGCCCCGGCGGGGTTTGTGTTCGCCCTGCCAGGCACCTGGGCGCGCCACTCACACGAAAGTGCGTCCACTAAATTGCTGGCGCGGAGCTTCTCCTGCGTGGAAAGGAAGGAAAATGCAAGCTCTGATGCTGAGTGGACAGGCCCATGGTTGCAGGTCCTTAGGAAGAGCCTCTCTTTGTGCACTCCCGGCAGGGCCTGCGATGAGATGGAGCTCCTTGTCGACTCCGTTGCCAGCAAACCCGTCTGCCCCTCGGTCCCCGTCCACTGCGGGTGGGTCCTCAGGGGCTCAGGCTTTTGCAGGGGTGTTGGCTCCAGCTCCCCACCTCACCTGGCCTGAAGCCTTGTGTTCATTACCTGCTCAGCTCGGAATACCAAGGCTCCACGTGCAGGCCAGGTGTTCAGGGCTGCGGCTTCAGGGCTGGCTTCTGTTCTGGCTTGGCAATATTCTCCTGGTTTTTGGCTGCTGTAGATGTTTTTTACTTTGTAGAGATCAGCTGTGCATTTGAAAGGATGTTTTCTGCATCTTACTCAGCATTTCTAGGTATTTGGAGAGACATGTTTTGGGAATAGCTACACTGATACTATTAGAAGTTGAAGCCTCATATTTTGTTTCTATATGAAATGTAGTTAAGTGTGAATAATCTGATTCTTGGGATGACTTCGTCTTTAAGTCAAGAACTGTAACACTTATTAACGAGCATATTAAATAGCGTTACCTGAGACCTGTATGTTGTTTTATTTAACAGCGTGTGTATAAGCTCAGCACACAGGTGCTCGGGCTTCCAGCCCAACTGAGGATGAGTTTTCTTTCAAAACCATTCACACAGAAACATTTCACGCTGTCGTAAGCTTGTGCTATGACGTGGCAAGATTTCCAGGTAATGGTTTTGATTCCTGATGTAGTGTCAGATTTTATAATTACAAATGCCCAGTTCTGTCACATTCTCCCCTCAAAGCGGCACCAGCGGATTCTGCTCACGGAACCTCACGCATATTCCAGGTGAGCACATGCTTCCCTCTCCTTCCTCTCCAACAGCCTCCCTGGCCTTCTGTCTGCGGGGCCTGTGGACTCATTCGCAGAAAGTGCAGGGCAGTGAGGCCAAGCAGGGTCTCTTGAGAGGCCCCCTGGGGCCATGGGACCTCAGGCAAGGCCCTTAGCCTTTGTACAATGAGGATGACCGTGGCGCCGACCTGCGTGCCTGTTCGAGGACGCCAGGAGATGACACTGGTGAAGAAGTGCTTCCCAGCTGCCCGGCACCAGGACCCACTCAGCACACGACACAACAGGCTATGCGGTTCTTGCTGACGCCACTGTCACTCTAGCCAGGTCCTAAGAGGGCCTCCTGTCCCATTTGCCACTGCGGGGGAGCAGAGGATCACAGAGGCTCCTCACTTCCGGCCTGGCCCTCCCCCACCCCGAGTCACCTCTGACTGACACACGGCACAGAGTCTCCATGGGCTCCTCTTTTCCTTCCCACAGCGTCGGACCCAGATCCTTTACCCTGTGTCACTCTCTGGTGCTGGGGAGACCTATGGGCCGTGCGAACCCCCAGAAAGCTCCAAAGTCCCCAATGGAAGTGAGCTTAGTCGTTGGCACCCCCATTGGTTGTGGGCCTGTCTCATGTGGCCACAGCTAAGCTCAAGGGGTGACCACGACCTAACTTTATGTTGCCATAGCAGCTGACTCAGTACCCTGAGCGGAGGGTTTGCTTACCTACTGGACAGGCTGGTTACCACCTAAATGACGACAGCAGGGATCAAAGTGGTAGATACGGGGTCTTGCCAAATGTCAGCAAGGTCAAAAGCATTGTCACTTTTGTGAATGGTTTCAAAATGAGAAATGATCACTTATGTGGACTGGACATGTACTCCTTAATAAACCAGTCTATTAATCTTGAGTTAATGTTATGTACTGATTATTGATCTGAGAACCAACACACACGAGGAATCATTTGTGAAGCACTTCCGATGTGCTGTCTCGCTGACCCTGCTGCCGGGCCATGTGCGTGGGCCGTGGGCCGTGGGCCGTGGGCTGCAGTCCAGAGAGACCGGCCCGCACTGAGGGAGGAAAGCAGAGCTGCGGCTGGGTGGCCCTTCTCACGCCCGCCTCCTGCTGGGGCCAACCCCAGGCTCCTCGTCTCTGGTATGTTCACCCTTGAGCAATGAGCATTTCCTTCATCAGAAATGCTGTTTTTAATTTTGTCACTTCAAAGACTGAAAAACCAAAAAAGAAAAAGGGGATTTTAACAGGTTTAATTATCCTTCTGGATTGGATACATTTTCTCAGCAACACAGAGGCTACAGCCCTATGGAGTTTTCCAGTCCACTGGCAACGCTCTCTGTTTTGAGAGTGGCCTGCTTACAGGTTTTATTTTTGGATGTTTCCTCTTTTAGGGAAAAATGGAGTCCATCACGGTGGTGAAGCTGCTGAGCTGCTTTGATGACCTGGTGGCCGCAGGCACCGCCTCGGGGAGGGTCGCAGTTTTCCAGCTGGTGTCCTCGCTGCCTGGGAGAAACAAGCAGGTCAGCACTAGTCACGTGATGTGGCTGAGCTTCCTGGCAGCTTCCTCCTGGATTCCAAAATGAGAAATCCTCAGCTGCCTAGAAGATGAAAGTTCAGAAAAACTTAACACTGTGTTCCTTCTAATCAGGCGGCAGTCTTGTTCCTGGTAGGACACTTGGCAAAAGGCACACATGGGCAATTTAAATTCTGCTCAGAGTTCCCTGGGTCTTCCCTGGGTTTTAAAGGAAAATAGGCAGATGGGGCCCAGCCCCTCCCTCCATGGACCGGAGGGCTCCGTCCCACCTTGTCCCCACAGCTGCGCCTCTCAGTGCTTGACCTTCTCCCCCCTTAAGTGCATTTTTATTGTTTATTCACAGCTTCGGAGATTTGATGTCATGGGCGTTCACAGAAGCAGCATCACAGCCCTGGCGTGGAGCCCCAATGGGATGAAACTGTTCTCTGGGGACGACAAAGGGAAAATTGTCTATTCTTCTCTGGATCTGGACCAGGTAAAATTATTTTCAGAAATGTTGCTGACGTTCTGTTTGGAGAAATGACACTCATAATTGTATTTCCAGCTACTCAGCTTGTAGCCACGTCAGCACCCTGCTGTAGTCTCAGTGATTTGTAACATTTTCTTTCAAGGAGTTTTCTAATGTTTTGTAAGCTTCTACTTCTGTGATTAAAGATTGGCCTTTGTATCCACTAGGGTATTCACTTTTTCATTCTCTTGTTGTCTCTTTTGCAACTTAGAAAAGAAGCCACTGTCCTTGCTAATTTGTTGAAGGGCCTGGAGGAGTGGAGAGTCCTCTTCCCAACCCTAACGGAGGGCGGAGGTCAGTGCCCTCGGGGCAGGCAGTTCACCCTCGCCAGCCCTGCCCGGTGAGGCGCCCCGTGTGTGAGAGTGGCCGGCGGGGGAGTCTGGAGGCAGCCTCCATCCTGCCTTCCCTCATGTTTGCTGTTTTACTGAGACCCCGGCACACCCTGAGCTGAGTGTTCTCACCCGTCAGTGGAGGGGGGAGACCGCTCCAAGGGACGCGGTCACAGGTCCCAGTCACAAGCTGATATGGCCCACGGAGCTCAACTGCAGGCTGAGCTGCTGCTGCAAAGCCTTCCCTGTTGCACGTGTGGCCCTGTGCCTGCCGGTGCCCAGCTGGACTGGACTCCTCGGTGGCACGGTCCTTTCATGTTCCTGTCGGTGGCTTTCGTTCCTAGCACGTGATAGGAAGTCAGCAACTGCTGACTGAGCTGCTTCTGCTCCTCTGACCCAAAACCGACCTGAGACCCCTGTGGCAGCGCCACCGACCGAACAGGGGCCGTGCAGCGCTCAGAGTCTGGGCCCCGTTCAGTCGGCGTCGTGCTGCCGTTTGTTACATTACACCCACGAAGTGCCGCCTGTTAGAAACCAAGGCTGAGACGCTTTAAAGTATTTATTAGTTGTATTTTGAATAATAAACCTATTATATGTTAACATAAACAAGGATAGCATTGCTTTACATTTTTGTAAATCTCATGTCTGGGTTAGTAGAAGACAGCTGGATTTTGCATTCCTCTGTAGCAAATACATTGTTTCGGTTGGAGGGTATAAGGAAACTGGCCTCACACAGACATGGCCGTTTTAGAGAGTTGTAGATATTTTCCTTCAGTTCCATCCCCAAATTGACTAACAGCAGTTTCTGTAAAGGTTAGTTACGGTGAGGAATTAAAACCATGTAGATGAGTTTTCCGTGCTCTGTCACCATCAAATCCGTGGTCCGTCTTGCACTCAGATCGGCTCCTTGGCCCATCACGTGTTGGTCATGTAGAACATACTGACCCACTGGGCCAGGCCGATCTTCCAGGTGCTGACGCATTGAATTACACAACGTTGAAGAAATCGCCTTGGTTAGTATCGCCGTTATTTAGCTACTAGGAATCTCTCAGGTTCACAAGGGCGGATACACTGTTTCAAATTCTGATCTTCATTTGAAAACTTGGATTTTATCATCAGCTACAAACTCTGTCACTTGTCATCTTTGAAGACCAGGCTCACTTTGTTCTTCCTGGTACGTGTCTGTCGAACGCCCCCGTTGGAATAGCCATGGCTTTGTATGTGAAGACGTATGCGGAGCTGGCTCCGCCGACAGCGCTGCGACCGCACGGGCACCTGCTGCCCCGGGAGGACAGAGCGCTCCCGTGCGCAGCGGGCAGCACACAGCACACGTGCGCCCGCGGCCAGGGTTTCAGGGCGCTGCCATCTTTCTGCACCAGAAACACTCTTAGTGAAACGCATGCTTTTGTGGCACATGCGTGGCAGAGGGCACGGTGAGATGAGTGGAGTGGGGTGTCCGGCCCAGTAGGGCCCCCTCGGGGCTCCCGCAGCTCCCCCCACCGCAGCGTGTCCCCCCGAACGAGGCTGATACAGCCTAGTACCAGAATGAACGTTGTTTGGACGTCGCAGAGCCCTTGAACGGGGTCCTGGGGACCCTCAGGGAGTGCGGGCCACACCGTGAGAGCCGCTGCTCTGCAGGAGGGTGTTCTGTGGCGGGTGTGAAGGGTCCCCCTGTGTGCACTGGCCTGCTGGCAGCACAGAGGATGCTCCTCGTGCCGGCGGCAGTTTCTTCGGCCAGCGGGTCGCTGTTCCTCGGCTGCATGGGGGCTCTGACCATTTATTTATTTTTGTATTTATTTTTAAAGATTATATTTATTTATTTTTAGAGAGGGGAGATGGAGAGAAACATCCATGTGTGGTTGCCTCTTGTGCGCCCCCTACTGGGGACCTAGCCCACAACCCAGGCCTGTGCCCTGACTGGGAATCGAACTGGCGACCCTTTGGTTTGCACGCTAGTGCTCAACCCACTGAGCCACACCAGTCAGGGCTGATCTTTTTTTTTTTTTTTTTTTTTTTTTTAAGAGACACAACTACTCTGTAAGATTCTCTCTCTCACACACACACACACACACGGAAAGATGCATATTTTTGCAAACTTCAATACAGTAAATTTCATTGCATTTGTTGCAAGGTAAGTCAAAAACTAGAAAGCTGCTGCTTGCATAACTGCAAATGTGGGTGGCAAATTTGCCTAAAAAATTCCTTGGCATTCAAGGGGAACGGGGTATCTGTATCTTCATCGTGGTGGTGGTAGAACTGTGGGTCTAAACGGGTGAGTCGCACACCATGTATGCTTACCAGCAAGTCCGACTGCGGCTCCCCCTCCCCCCAGAAAGGCACGTGAGAGCCCCTCAGTGTGTTTCTTAACTGAAGGCGAGCCCCACTTCAGCCAGCAGAGCTCTGACGCTGGGACATGGGGCTTGCGCTAGCAGCAGAATGCCTTCCAGAACTTAGCTTTTGTTCCTTAACATATTCAGCACCATTTTAATTTTAATTTATTCCTGCTTTTGTTGACCCTTCCAGTTGGCAGGCATAAAATGTCCCCAGAATTGCTTTGTGGAGGGAACGTGTAACATGAACTTAGCTGGTTGTTGTCACAATAATTTTATGGAAAGTCTCATATGTTCCATTATGATAGAGTAAATAATATGCGTGGTACATGTTTCTGCTTAGGTCTTTATGAATTCTTCTCTGAACTTTCCATTGAGGAGTTTTTAAAAATATTTATTATTAGAGAGAAGGGAAGGAGAAAGAGTGGGAGAGAAGCATCCATGTGTGGTTGCCTCTCGTGTGCCCCGTACTGGGGTCCTGGCCCACAACCCAGCATGTGCCCTGACTGGGAATCGAACCAGCGACCCTTTGGTTTGCAGGCCAGCGCCCAGTCTACTGAGGCCCAACAGCCAGGGCTATACAGAATTTTTAATGCTTTTTGTCAAGCTGGAGGAAGCCTGAGGTAGATGTTAACATTAACTGTTTTCTCATTAGTAAGGACTTTTCCAAATAACCCCATGGCAGTGGGCTGACACTGAATCTAAAGCGAGTTAAAGTGTGCATTTTAAGGTTTGACTTGACCTAAATAAAAATAAGAGGAAGAGCATGGGCTGGCCCTGGAGGAGGCCAGGTTACGGCAGCTCCAGCTTTGCCGCGTGTAATGGGACTGCCTTTTGCAGGGCGTCTGCAACTCCCACCTGGTGCTGGAAGAGCCGTCCGCGATTGTGCAGCTGGACTACAGCCAGAAGGTGCTGCTGGTGTCCACCTTGCAGAGAAGCCTGCTGTTTCACACTGAAGAGCAGTCTGTCAAGCAGGTCGGAGCCCAGCCCAGGAAGAGGTAAGTCCACAGGTGTCCCGGCCTGGTGGCGACAGAGGGCACTTTGAGCTTTCCCAAGTTTCCGGTTGGCCCGTGCAGGTCCCCAGCCTCTCTAAGCCTGGGGTTCCCAGTGGGCCCCCAGCCCGCCTGGGGCACACTGCCTCAGCATCAGAGGGGACTTTGTCGGTCAGCAGTGCAGCCGCTCTGCCACAGGAACCAGGGTCTGGAGGGTGACCCTCCTGGGGAGGGTCGGGAAGGGGTAAAGGGTTCCAGGCTGAGGGGTTGTCCCTCCTTTGACCTGGTGCCTGACAGAAAACCAGTGACCAGACAGGCCGGGCCAAGTCGCCCCGCCTGCCAGCCGTGTGGGAAAAGGCGGCGCAGCCCGTGGGCGGCGCAGGTTCGTAGTCCCACTCGGAAGCACCCTGGCAGGACTCTGCGCACTGTGGGGGGTGGGGGGAGGGGGGAACTGGGAGGGGTGGGCGGGAGCTGGAGGAGTCCCCCGGAGAAAGGCACCGGCCAGGCTGGAGGAGAGAGAAGGGGCCGGGTGTGTGGAGGGCACACAGCAGGCTGGCTGGAAAACGCGGCGGGCCGGCCAGTGTTGAGGGGCCCGCCGAGGCTGGCGGTGCCAACAGGAGATGGCGGCTGAGGTCGCCGGGTGCAGGGGGCGGGGGGGGGGGCGGGAGAGCCAGCATCACCCTGTGTGCTGTGTGTCCCAGCAGCACAGTGGAAGTGTGTTCTCTGCTCCGTGTGGCAGCCCTTAGCTATGAAGGGCCTGCCGGGCCTGCCCCTCGGCTCCCGTTGCCTGCCGAGCACCCCCAGTCCCGTCACTGGTCCGACCTGCGTAGAGCAGTGAGCGCCTGTCGGCCGCCAGGGGCACGGTGGATTGTGCGGCACTGGCCCTGGCTTCCCTCGCCCGGCGTCCGCTCTGCCTGGCCTCCTGTCCGGGCTTGTCTGTCGTGTCTTGCTGTGCTATGACTCTCTGGAAGGAGGTGGAGTGTAAAGATACACAGACCCGTTACCTTTCACCTGGGCCTCGTACCCCACAGTCTTTCTCCTCACACCTGGCCTTCTGGGCTCTCGCGGGAAGCCTGCGCGCCTCCCTGGGAGCCTCGCCTGGCGCGTCTGTGGTCAGGTCCTGGCACAGCCATGACCAGCGTGCTGTGTGCCCGGCTCTGATCCAGGACACAGAGACAAATCAGTGTCCCTTTACTGAGCCTTCAAGAGAGCCGGTTGACACCAAATACGTGTCTTACAACTCTTCCTATTGTGTGCTATTTGGGATTGTGGTTAGGAGAGCGTCAGCCACCTCCCCTAGATGTGGTGGCTCATTTGGCACTGTTGGGTGAATGCCCACCAGGATGGGGACAGGTCTGTGCCCTCCGGCAAGATGCGGGTTTGGGCTGCAGTACATGTGGAGGCGACAAGCAGGGTGAGGCATGGGGGGTGGGCAGGAGGCTGCGGGGAGCAGTCGGGGAAGGCCTCTGCGGGTGTTGTTGGAGCCAAAGCCTGAGGCGTGGGCAGAGCACTCTGGTCCCCGGGAACGTCTGAGGCCGAGGCCTGGGATCAGGCCAGGGCCTGGAATGTTGGTGGACTCAGAAAGAAGCTGGTGGCTTTGGAGAGGTGGGTTGGGGACAGGCGGGGCTTGGTGAGGGACTCGGTGGTGGCAGATGAACGTGGTGGGTCTCTTCTGACCAGGCCTGAACCTCTTCCAGTTGGACAAAACAGCACGTGTCACTCCCAGGAAGTCTCGGGCCCCAGCCGTCCCCACACACAGCACAGCTTTGCTCTCTGTTGTGTCCCTGTGGCATGACTTTACGGCGGGCCTTCTCCGTGCCTGCTGCCCCGTCTCCCACAGGCCAGGGCTCGGGACGTCCTGCGTCGGCAGCGCCTGCCTGCGGCAGCGGGTGCAGGGTGTGCGGAGTGCGGCTGCACCCCGGGCAGAGCCAGTGCCAAGTTCTGGGGCAGTGCCACTGTCGCGCCCCTTGGGTGGCCTTCGGGCGTCTGGCTGTGGAGACTGTAGTCACAGCTCTGGCCCGCTCCCTGCACCCCTTGCAGAGTCTGCTCTCCCATTTGGGCTCTGCGGCACAGGACATTATGTATAAAACCAGAAAACACTATTTTAGGGCTGGAATTTGTTAACCAGAAAGCACTCCTTTCATAGTCACGTGGCTCATAATGGGAATCAAAGTACTTTCTGTCCACCATCAGTTAATTTTTGGAAGTCATCTCCACCAAAACTAAGAAACGAGGTTAATTTATTTATGAGCTTAGAATCCTGCCGAGCGCAGCCCTTAAAGCCAGTGTCCTCCTGTCCGGCCGGGACGACACCCGCAGTGCTGCCGGGCCCCTGCAGGTGGGTGGGCGGTGGCCGGGTCAGGCTTCGGGAGGATTCACGCCCGGCTCTACCTACTCTCCCCCAGATTCTGTGCCTTCTCCCGACCAGCTGCCCGGCACATCCCAGCTCAAGAGTGTCCCTTTCCCCAGAAAGCCGTTCCTCTCTTCTCTACCTGGGAATCGATTGTCAGTGTCCAACCTCCTGCCTTCTTATTTGACGGTCACAGCATGTCTCCTCTGTGTACTCCTCTTTGACCACCTCTCTGAGCTCCGATGTCTCTCTCCCGGATGCTGCCGTGACTGTTCACACACACACGCTGAGCTGTGTGTGGTGAGGCAGGGCCACGGCGCGAGCCAGCGTCTCCGGTAACACAGGGCCTCGCTCAGTGTTTGCTCAAGGGAGCGCCTCAGTCGCCTGAGGCGAACAACTAAAATGGAGGCGATGAGACCTGGAAGGCAGCGGGCTGGCGCACCGGCTCACCAGATAGAAGTTGGCGTGACAGGGGAGGCGGGAGGACGAGGCGAGGTGGCGGCGGCCCTGCGAGGATTCCTCCCTTCTCTGTTGGAGAGCCCCCCCCCCCCCCCCCCGCCCCCCCCCCCCGGCCCCGAGCGGCCCTGCGGTGGCAACGAGACTGCGGCGGGGCGGGGCGGGGGCGGGGGCGGGTGCTGGGCAGGCAGGCGTCCGGGGGCGCGGCCAGCCTGCCGGCCCTCGCCACGCCGTGGCACCCGTGCGTCAGCAGTCACCCGTGCGTCAGCAGTCGGATGCCCGCCTTGGGCCGTGCCCAGACAGGTGGAGTTACGGGGACTGACGTGCAGAGAAACGCCCACACGGCTGCGTGGGGTGGGGCCTGGGGCCCACCTGGGGCTGTTGTAAGAGGTGTAAGAGGAACGCCTTGTCCTCTGGGCTCAGGGTGACAGTGCGCTTCAGTCAACAAGAGAAACATAGAAAGGGATTCTAAAAGGTCAACATTTTTTAGGCTTAGCCCAAAAATTCCTGTTAATATCAGTGATCACTTTAAATCAGTCTGTGTCTGTTTTTTTCCTTCCTTTCTTTTAATTTCAGCACTGGGAAGTTTGGTGCTTGTTTTATACCAGGACTTTGTAAGCAAAGCGACCTGACCTTGTACGCATCTCGGCCGGGGCTCCGGCTGTGGAAGGCTGACGTCCATGGGGCGGTTCAGGCCACGTTCATCCTAAAGGACACCTTCGCTGCGGGAGTCAAACCTTTCGAGCTGTACCCACGTCTGGAACCCTTCGACAGGGGACGCGTCGGCCTGCCTGAGAAACACCTGGGGCTCGTTTCCTGTTTCTTCCAAGAAGGCTGGGTGCTGAGTTGGAATGAGTATAGTATTTACCTTCTGGACACCATCAACCAGGTGCGTGGCAGGGCTGCAGCGCCTCCTGGGGTCTAAAGGCTCCTCTCGGGTTGCCTCTCCCAGTGATGGGGGCAGGGCAGGCCCCCGTGCGTCACTTTCCCTCTGGCCAGTCAAGGAGCTCAAGGGAAGGTCTGGTTATTTTGGTAGATTTCAAAAGATACTTGGTTTGCTATGCGTAGTCCAGCCCTCTGCCAAGAAATTGTGGGGTTTTTATTTTGGGGTTTGTTTTGTTTTTTGCCATTAAGCACAAAATTAAACTTGTTCTTTTTTTTTTTTTTTTTTTTTTAAGATTTTATTTATTTTTAGACAGAGGGGAAGGGAAGGAGAAAGAGAGGGAAACATCAGTGTGTTTCCTCTCGTGCGTCCCCTACCAGGGACCTGGCCCACAACCCAGGCACGTGCCCTGACTGGGAATCAAACGGGCGACCCTTTGGTTCACAGGTCAGCACTCAGTCCACGGAGCCACACCAGCCAAGGCGAAGCTTGTTCTTTATAGTCTGTTTCGGTCATGTTTTTTCTGACTACCAAATGCTTGAGTGTATTACAGGCAAGTTTGCAAGTTTGACAAAAACAGTAACAGAATATCACTTCTAAGACTCTCCCCAGGGTGATGCTGAGCGGGACAGGGGTCTCTCTCCAGCTTGCTTTCTACTGTGAACTCAGGCTTGTCCCCTCTCCCCAAACAGAGACATGTTATGTTGCCATATGTATCTTCAATAGCTTTCAGCACCATTAAATCATGGTAGGAAGTGATTTCTGTTTAAATCAGGGTGGTAATAGAGCTATCTTTAGAGTCAGATATACGAACTTAAACAAACAAAACCTTTCGCCCTGGCCAGTGTGCCTCGGTTGGAGCGTTGTCCCATAACCGAACGGTTGCGGGTTTGATCCCCGATCAGGGCACATTCCTAGGTTGTGTGTTCTCCATCCCTGATCAGGCCGCATACAGAGGGAACCAATCAATGCTTCTCTCTCGCTTAATGTTTTCTCTCTCCCTTCCTCTCTCTAAAATTAATGAAAAAATATCCTCAGGTAGGGATAAAAAAGTTTAAAAACCTTCATTTTAGTGTCTTCTTAAGATCAGAGCTGTGTGAGGCCGACGGGCAGGTCCCACCAGGGAGGACCTTGTCACAGGGCGTGGGGGGCCAGTGGGGACGTGGCCCTGCGGGCGGCCAAGAGGCGGGGAGAGACTGCCCCTCAGTCACGGAAGTTTCTGGCGAGGAGTACAGCTCCCAGTCACACGTCTGCCAGGTTTTACCTCACGGTCATTGAAGTGCCCCAAGAAGTTCCATGAAGTGGTCAAAACAAAATGCAGTGACCGTCTGACCTATTTGGGCTCCTGCACATGCTCATGTGCTCTGATCTGTTACTATTGTCTGGTTTTGTGAGCTGCCTCTCCTTTTTTTTTATTTTATTTATTTAATTTATTTATTTATTTTTTTTTTTGGACAGGCCACGATTGCTGGTTTGGAAGGATCAGGTGATATTGTGTCTGTTTCCTGCACCGAAAATGAGATATTTCTCCTAAAGGGAGATAGGAACATCATAAGAATTTCGAGCAGACCGGAAGGACTAGCGTCGATAGGTTTGTATCTGTAATAAAGGCACTGTGTGTATACGGTTGGTTTTCATGTATAAGACTTACCATTTTGCTAGTTAAATGCTTGGAGCCTATCTTAACAAGGAGGCTTCTGGAGGATTTCTCAGGATCTTAAAATGCTGTTCACCGTACTTCCCTCGAAGGCGACCTCTTCACGGCCTGCGCCAGACGGGGCCTTCCCCTCGGTAGCGCTGCTTCCGTGGGCCCGGCATGGGGCGGGCGAGTGGGGGCGGGAACGCGACGCCCACTTGACTGGCCTCTGATGCTCTGGACAGTGGGTGGGACTAATGCTCCCAGAGGCCTGGATGTGCATAAGGTTTTAGAACATTTAAACCTGTCGTCTGGGACATACCTTTCACCCTTAGTGCAGGTCTTGCTTGTAGAATTGTTTATTATCCTGTTGCTTCTGACTTTCTTTATGTAATTCACAAAAGAACCTGACTGTGGATTCTCTTGCACATCCACTGTCCTTGGCACATTTGGGGCTGCTCAGTCACCCTGTTCCTGGTGGTGACCAGAGCAGCCACACGGGCCCCCCCTTGCTCTGCCCCCTCACCCTCATTCACTAGTACTCACTATGTTAAAGAGACTGTGCTGAGTACTTAACATTCACGATCTTATCCTCAGATCATCCGCGTATGGAAGGTACTGAGTGTCTAGCTGAGGAAGCTGAGACTTAGCCAGGTGCCATGAGAGCCCTAAAGATACTGCCAGTGCGACGCGTGAGCGGCACCCCAGGAACATCTGTCTGGCCCCGGAGCCCCCCATCTGTGGGGCCTCTGAGGTTCACAGCGCAGGTTCACAGGTGTTCTGTTTGACTCTTAGAACAAACCTGTGGAAATGCAAAACCTGTCTCCCGGCCCCCCACCGCCCTTCCTCATCCTTCCTCCCTGGGGTTGGAGCAGCCTTGTCCCGCCCTTGCTCTGCACCTGCACTGTCCAGTAGGTGGCCACAGCCCACACGTGGCCGCTGAGTACTTGAAACGTGGCAAGTGCAACTGAGGAATGGAATTTTAAATTTTGTTTCATTTTAATTAACCTAAATTTAAACAGCCACACAACTAGTGGCTTAGGTTCTGGACAGTGAAGCTCTAGACCAGGATCGCCGTTAGCTTGTGTGACCTTCTACAGGTCACTTCCCTGCCCAGGTCTTCACTTGGCTGAGTCCTGCTCTGCTGGTCCCCAGCATGTGCTCGGAGCCTGCAGTCTGCCCCTGAGACCCCAGGAGAGCGGGAATCCTGTCTGCTCGGTTAGTGGCCATGTCTCAGCACTTGGAATGGTGTCTGGCACTCAGTAGATCAACAGGGACTGTGGCTGGAGCCATTCTGGCCCTGGTCACCTTCTGGTGTCGTGGTGAGAGAAAAACAAGTCCGTGGAGGTGCAAATTTGCTGGCTTTCAGTCATGAGACAGAGCTCGGGACATGACATTCCATAGCCGCTCCTGTCTCTGCCCTCCGCTGGGATGGGGCACTAGCTGCTTTCATGAACTTCTGTCTTGAGTTTCCCCTAGTAGAAAATTACCTTTTCCTCCTTGAATTTTGAGAAATTTAGTTACAGGTATACAAGGTCTGTTCAGAAAAAAGTCCAGCCATTGTTCGTATATTGAGAATGGTTTGCGTGACATCAGTGTACCCTGGCAGCCAAGGGGAGTGAACTGGGATGCACATGCATGAACAATGACGACTTCACTGTACTAGTCAGTGGGGTCGGTAGATGCCGTTGAGTGAACATGTCTGCTGCTGTGTGGCCATCGCATTAAAAATGATTGAGTAAAGCAATGAATCTGCATCAAATTTTGCGTCACTCTTGACCATTCCTTTGTGGAAAGTATTCAGATGATTTGAAGGCTTTCGGGGACAATGCAATGAATGCAGTGCAAATAAAAGTGTGAGACAAGTGCTTCAAAGATAGTTGGAAGTCTTTTGAAAACGATCCGTCCACATTCTCGAAGGCCTGCACCAAGAACACCTCAGAATGTTAAACATGTACGGGCTACCATCTACAATATTGGTGACCAGCATTGTGAGAACTCAAAGCTGATCTGAGGATTCCAAAAACTACCGTTTCTGAGATTCTGACACAGGGTCTTGGCAGGAAACCTGTCATGGCAAAATTCACTCCATGGCGTCTGCTACCAGAGCAGAAGGAGCATCGTGCTGCCGTTGCTCATGACTTGGTTCAAACGGCTACAATGAACCAGATTTCCTCAAGAAGGTCCTAACCAGAGAGGAATTGTGGGTCTATGGCTGCAATCCAGAAACGAAGGCCCAGCTGTCTCAGTGGAAGTCTTCTGGTTTTCCACACCCAAAGAAGACGCAGCAACATCCCGGCAGGATCAAGACCACGTGAACTGTGTGTTTTGATTGGGAAGGCGTTGTCCATCATGAGCACGCACCCCCCCCCCCAGACCAAACAGCTAATAGGGAGCAAATATGATGAAAATTGCCACAGCGGTGGTAAACTGGTGGCTGGCAGCTTCATCAGGACAAGGCAACCTCTCATGCATCACATTTTATGTAGTGTTTTTTGGTGAAACAGCAAGTCATCCAGGTGACTCAGCTCCACTGCAGCCCAGATTTGACGCCTTGAAACTTCTCTGCCTTTCCCCAAAACTGAAATCACCTTTGAAAGAGAAAAGATTTCAGATTATCGATGAGATTCAGGAAAATATGATAGGACAGTTGATGGCGATTGGGAGAGCTGTGTGAAGTCCCAAGGTGCCTATCTGGAAGGGTACTGAGGCATCATTGTCCTATGTACAATGTTTCTTGTATCTTGAATCTTCAATAAGTGCCTCTATTTTTCATAGTATATGGCTGGATACTTTCTGGACAGACCTGGTACATACATTTTTCAAATGCCCGTTGAATAATATTGTATTAAAATGTATTTCCCTAGCAGGTGTGGCTCAGTGTGGAGCGCCGGCCTGTGAACCAAAGGGTCGCCGGTTTGATTCCCAGTCAGGGCACAGGCCTGGGCGGCAGGCCAGGTCCCCAGTAGGGGGCGTGCGAGAGGCAACCATACATTGATGTTTCTCTCCTTTTCTTTTTCCCTCCCTTCCCCTCTCTAAAAATAAATAAATAAAATCCTTAAAAAAAAAATAAAGTGTATTCTAAGCACTAGATGAGTATGACACAGCATTAAGCTCTTTTTTAGACAAGCTGCTCCACCTTATAAGTCATTTGTGAATGAGAATGAGAGATGTTCTATTCTCAGCGGCACTCCCTGTTCAGTTGTCTGCAAGATAGCTGTGGTGACTTAGTTTGCCGATTTTGATGTATAAGCTCCCTGGAGAGCAAAAACCATTGCTCGGGATTTTCTGTGTGAGTCTTGGAGTTTTGCTCATTACTCTGAATCCAGCAGGCTGGTATGTGGGGCAGGCTAACCTAAGAGCATGTTGACGTTCTCTCAGACAAACAGTAGTAAAGCTGACTCTTCTTTCTCAGTGCGAGATGGTCTGGAGACACCAGGATGCACAGAGCAAGGCCCTGCGCAGCGTGCGGAGCGGCCTCCAGGGGCCACAGTCTGCGAGGCGAGGCTCAGAGGCGCTTCCGTGGCCAGCGAGCCCAGGAGCCGGAGCAGCTCACTCAACTCCACCGACAGCAGCTCCGGGCCCCAGGCGGCACCGGAGCTGGGCAGGGGCAGCCCGCCCACCTCGCACAGGTTCAGTGTCATTAGCTCAGAAGACTTTGACCAGGAGCTCGTGGTGAAGCCTCTCAAAGTGAAAAAGAAAAAGAGGAAGAAGCGGGCAGGTACGTCAGGTCGGCAGCAGGGCCCGCGCTGGCGCCAGCCGCTCCCAGCAGCCCCAGGAGAGCCGGGTCCTGCTCTGTGGGCATTGCCCTTTCGGGGACAGCAGGGAGGGCCTTCAGAAAGCAATGTGCTCCTTCCTTGAAAGAGCTGTGTGTGAGACAGGCTGTGCATTACACGCGCGTGTAGAGCATACCCGTAAGGCTTAAACAGCGAGGCACGCCTGTGTGCTCAACAGCCTGAGCAAGGGGCCTGGGTGAAACTTCTCAGGGCTCAGCTGGAAGAGCCGGTTTACTTGTGTACCCGCTTCTTAGACCAGAGACATTGTGGCCTGCGGGGAGGCCGTGGAAACGAGATGCGCACCGGTGTCAGGGAGGGTCATTTTTGTGCCAGCTGCCAGACGCGTTTGCTACCAGATGAAGGGTTCAGTGTCAAACCCCGTAAGTCTCCCCCACAGTGCACATCGAGCTCTTTGCTAAAGGTCGCTGCAGTACTGGAGGAAGTCTATCATTTTCCTAAGCATTTTAATAATTTTAAAAATTTGGGCTGTGGTTCATTTGTTCTTTTATTTTCTTAGTCAACATTTCATGAGTGAGGCCCCAGAGCCATTGCGTGTAGACTGTTTGCATCCATTTAAAACATCCCTGTGTTGGCATAATTTATACTTAAGAGATTTATTCTTTGCCAGTTTAACATGTATTTTTCATTTATTGAAAATATACTTTTTTTAAAGCCAAAATTTTGGTTTTTAATTCTCATCTCCACGTAGTGCCACACCTCATTTTAAACGCTCTTATTTTAAATTAGAAGGTGGAAGCAGTAACGCCTGGCACAGTTCCCTTGAGTCGACTCCCTGCTGTGAGTTTCCTGGTGACAGTCCCCAGTCCTTAAACACAGACCTGCTGTCTGTGGCCTCAAGTCTGGGCAGCATCGCGGATCAGTTAGGCACAGAGTCCCCTGACCTGGAGAGCAACCTCAGTGGCGAGGTGAACGGTGTCCTGCAGGACAACAGTGACCCTGAAGCATTTAGTGTCCTGGAGGTTCCTGAGCCCACCCCTGACTTACTCAGGGAAGATGACAATAGAATGGAAATCCCACGGTGGAACCAGGCAGGTGAGACGGAGCCGGAGCCGCGCAGCGAGCTGTTGAGTTTACCGTTGCAGCCGAGGAACGACGTGGAAGGTGGTGACATCACAGAACCCGAAGCGGAGCCTTGTCCTGCGGACGATGGACCCAGTAGCAGACAGTCACCTTGCCAAGAACAGGACAGCTCTGCTGAGGCCCAGGAGGCGGGGGCCCTGGAGCCTGAGTATGCCCAAAACATGTTGCGTGAAGCCCCTCTCCTGGATTTGCCCCCAGTGCCTTCCAGCCTCAGCTGGGCCCCCAGTGCTGAGCGGTGGCCGCTGGAGACCAGAGCTGACCCAGGTGGCACCGAGGACGCTGGCCAAGAGCAGAGCCTCCTGGCGCCCCTGGAGGCTCCCAGCCACCTCGGCTCAGAGCCCTGGCATGCTGTCACTGATGACGACACAGGCCACAGAGCCATGGCTGCTTCCAAATGTGACTTGGGGAGCATGGGCGGACGACAGACTCCCCTGGCTGTTGCCTTGGTGGCCAGCACCCACAAGCCTCGCCTCGAGCACCCCTCACGAGATCAAGTGTTGACGTCCAGCGACGAGGAGGACATCTACGCCCACGGGCTGCCCTCTTCGTCCTCGGAGGCGAGCGTGACAGAGCTTGGAGGCGGTCGCTCCCTGCAGGACCTGAGCCAGCCAGCCACAGAGGACGCGGGGCTATTGAAGTCAGATCAGGTGCGTGCGTGTCTTTCCTTAGGGAAGTCACTGGCAAACAGGTCATTCTCCCTATGGAGAGAAATTGTATTTCCACTGCAAAACCTGCAGGCTGCATGTCTTGAAGCCTGGGTGGGGGGATGTCTGGTTGCAGGGGCCGTGAGCAGCCTGGATTCCTGCTGCCCCGCCATCCCTGCTTGGTAGCCGCACTTCAGCATCCCACCCAGCCCAGCGATGAGTGTCGGGAGGGGCCGAACCACCCAGGGGCTGTTCCCGCACCCGTGGGCGGAGGACCCGGCGAGGGCTCTGAGAAGTAGGAGGCCGGCACCTCCTCGCCGCCTCTGCAGACAGGCGTGTGCGCGGAGCCGGCAGCAGGAAGCGGCCCTTTCCCCACAGCCGGCTCCTCAGCCTGTGGCGTGGGTGTCAGGGCTCCCACGGGCTGTGCAGAAAGCAGGCCTGTGGCCTGGCCGCCCACGGGGCCTCCCAGCGCATGCAGCTAGAGGACGATTATTGACTGTCCTTGGTCACTTTAGATAAAAAAGTGCTTTAATTAGTGCTCACTTTCCTTAGCGATTTCCTTAGTGATTACTATTAGAGGGATTTGGTTTGAACACAGACCACGTGTTGTAACTTTTCCTACTAAGTAGATGTGAGGTACAGAGTATGAGTTGAACTCAGAGCCACCTGTGCTTTCCCCACGTGTTCTGCTGGGTTCTCAGTGCCAACAACAGGTGACATTTGGGCAGCTCTCGCCGTGTGCCAGGCACCATGCCAAACACTGCGTAAGTTTAATTCATTTACTCCTCTAAAAACAAAACAAGCCAGTGCTGTTGTCATCCCCACTCGACAGAGAAGGAAACTGAGACTCGGGACAGCAGAGGGACCCCAGGCAGCGAGTGCAGGGCCAGGCCTGCCCCGGGAGCCCTCAGCCTCTGTGCTGTCCTGTCTCGCACGTGAAACACGTGGCTTCCTTGCTTGGAGACGGGACGCTAGGAGGCCAGACGCCCGTCAGCCTCCCGTGCACGCCTCCTCCCTGGAGCGCCTCCGCTGCGGGGACGCCACCCTGCACGTGGCCGCCGGTCGTGGGTCTCGGCGTCAGGCCACCCGGCTCAGTGGGTCTCGGGCGACAGTGGGGAGTGAGGTGCAGGAATGGGGGAAGCCACAGCAGGAGCGCCCACGCAGAGATGGCATTGCCAGGCACACGGGGTTCCAGGCGGGGGCTTTGGGGACCCTAGGCCCGGACTGGAGAGAAGCCCCTCCCCGGGGGAGGGGGGGCCGGGCGCTCTGAGGGCCTCCGCTGCCTTCACGCGCCGCCTCCCCTGTTCCCCTCCGCGTAGCTGGGAAAACTCAACAAACGAGTGGGGTTTTGGGGTAGCAGACAGGGCCTGTCGTGGTGAGCAGGGTCAGCCTGAGAAGCGTGGGGCACCCCTCTCTTTGAAGCCATTAATTTCCACATGGGGACAATTGTGCAAATACATTGATTTCTTTTGCAGAGGTGCCAAGACTTTATTTAGCTTTGATTTTTAAAAGAATCCTAGCAAGTAAACCTTAGTTTACAAAATTCAGCCTGGCAGAGCGTCCTGGCCAGGGCGCCTCAAGGGCAGTGATTGGGAGTGTGTTTGCAAGTGTGGTCCACACGCGCATACACACACGCAGGGACACGCACACACAGAGGCAGGGCGGCTTCTCCTGACCCGGCTGCAGGGATTTGATATACAGAACACGTCTCTGTGTGAGGTGAGCTATACCTGTGGAACAAAGCCAGGTCCTTTTAATACCAGCATCACATTAGGAAGGACGTTATGACAGTGTTGCCCAGGGATGCCGGGGGGCCTTTAAGAGGGGGCAGCAGCTCCCAAGTCAGAAGCCTTCTGTTAGCCCTGCTGCAAAGATCGCGGGGGCAGGTCTCTGCAGGCTTCTCAAAGATCCTCGCAGCTCTGATTTTAATGGCATCCTGGCAGCTTTTCTTGGTGACAACAGTACGGCAAACACAACCATGTCATCTGCCACAGAACTCACGGGGCTCTGTCCTTAGTTTGCAGAGAGCTGGATGGGCTACTCTGGCCCCGGCTACGGCATCCTCAGCCTGGTAGTCTCCGAGAAGTACATTTGGTGCCTGGACTACAAAGGCGGCCTCTTCTGCAGCGCGTTGCCAGGCGCCGGGCTGCGCTGGCAGAAGTTTGAAGACGCCGTCCAGCAGGTGGCAGTCTCGCCCTCAGGTTCGCCCACACCCTGCTCCCTGCCCCCCGGTGCCTCTGCCCATTCAGCCAACTTGCCTTTTCCTGCAGGTGTGAGAGGTTTTCTCCAAACAGCATGAATTGCTTCATTTGATAGCAATTAAATAGTGTAAATGGGTGTTCAGTTTGGTTTTTTGCTAATTGCAGCTATTAACATACTCCTTTTGCTTTGCAGGCCAGGGCTCAATCCACTGAGCCACACCAGCTAGGGCCATGCTCCTTATAAAAATAAAATACATTTTTTTTTAAGATTGTTATTTATTTTTAGAGAGAGAGAAAGGGGAGGGAAGGAAGAGAGGAAGAGAAACATCAACGTGTGGTTGCCTCTTGTGCGCCCCCTACTGGGGACCTAGTCTACAACCCAGGCCTGTGCCCCAGCCAGGATTTGAACCGGCAACCCTTTGGTTTGCAGGCTGGCACTGAATCCACTGAGCCACACCAGACAGCTTGGCAGGTTCAATTCCCAGTTGAGGCACAGGCCTGGGTTGCGGGCCGAGTCCCAATGAGGAGGTGCGTGAGAGGCAACCATACATGGATGTTTCTCTCCCTTTCTCCCTTCCTTCCCCTCTCCGTAAAAATAAATAAATAAAATCTTTTTTAAAAATTTTAAAAAATGCATTTCTGTTTCTTGGTGTTGCTTTAAAGCAACTGAACTAAGGGAGATTGGGCCCACGCAAATGTTGGGTATGTTCAGGCTCTTTGGCTCCCTTTTTGGAAGTTACCTTTAGTGAGCTGCGTATGTATTCTGTGGGTGACTAACGGATGCCCCGACTGCAAAGGGGAAAGGCGCCTGTTCTCTGACGCCGCGCTCGGGCGTCTCCAAGGAACCAGAGCAGGCGCCCCCGGATGAGGAGCTGCCTGGCTGAAGCACCCGCACGCCCCTTGCGCCGCGTTTGCCCACGTCCCCTGTCTGGGCGCCGGGCAGGCAGACAGACGTGCTTCTGTGTGTCTCTGCCTCGCAGTGACTGGCTCATCGTTAGCGTGTAGGAAGGGAAGTCGGTCAGAACTGCACCTGTGACCTTGGGCTGGTGCTCTGTGACTTTACACCGGCTCTCCCTTAACTCTCCCAGGTCTTCGTCACTATTTAAAATGCTAGTTTGTCAGGGCAGCTTTATCTCTTTGCTTGTTTCAAAAATATTTTTCCTTAGAGACTGACAGATAATGACCTACTCCATTAGCTGCCATTGTATTAGTGTGTGTTTTAATTCTTTTTTGGTCATTTACCTTTGGGTTCATGTCCCCATCTGTTTGAAAACTTTGGTTCATCCCGGATTGTATTATAACTACCTTGTGTTTTTAAAACCATTCAGTCCTCCTTGCTTTAGGGAGAACTCTGTCTCCAGCAGGTCCGTTTCCTTGGCTGCCTCATTGAGCACCAGGGCCCCGGAGCCAGGCCCTCAGGGTGTGGCCAGCCCTCAGGCTGACCCCCTGCCTAGCACTGTGGGTGGTTCCTGTGCTGCTCACACTCCGGGCCTGGCCTGTGCCACCGCCTCCCCGGCAGCGTGCCCCGCCCCCCCCCTCTTCCTCCTCCCCTCCCTTCTTCTTCGCTATTTATCAGAATCCCTTTCTGAGTGAAAAAAGCACAGCCCAGCTCCAATGCTTCTTTTTCCTATGTCTTGTCCATTTAGCTGGCCCAGAAGCAGCCCCCCGACCTCGGGTCCCTGTAAGACTTGCAGCTGCCCCAGGACACTGCGTGTGCCTCACGACGTTCATTTGGGACTCCTCTCGGCAAACCTAAGGCAGCTGGCCCTGCTCCTGTTCCGTGTAATGCGTGCCTGTGAGGGGCCCAGCTCTGGGCCACGCTGTTGAGCCATTGTCACCAGCCTTTCACAGACAAGGAAATGAGGCTTAGAGGTGTTAAGTGATATGATGCCAGAAGCCACATGACTGGCAGGTGGTGGCCACAGGTTCAGACCTGGGCTCTCTCCCCAGCAGGGGTGTTGGATCAGCCCCACCCCCCCACCCCCGCCCCCGCGGCACCTGGGAGGGAGTGCCGCTCTCACAGCTGACTCGCATTTCCGCCTGCACAGGGGCCCTCCTCTGGAAGATCGAGCAGAAGTCTAACCGAGCTTTTGCTTGTGGCAAAGTGACCATCAAGGGCAAGCGGCACTGGTACGAGGCGCTGCCCCAGGCTGTGTTTGTGGCACTGAGTGACGACACCGCCTGGGTCATCAGGACAAACGGAGACCTGTACCTGCAGACAGGTAACGCGGCCGGCGGGTCTGGCGTGACTGCTTCTGACCGCACTGTGCTTTGCTAGAACAGTCACAGCGCCTGCGAGGCTGAGGTGCACCTCCGTTAGGTTGGTGTGCTCTGAAAAGGGAGGATTTGTCATTGGGACATATTAGCAGTTTCCTCCCGCTGATTCACGTTCGACCAAGGACAAATTTAGGGCAAGAAACAGGGTTGCTTAGTGAGGTACAGACACAGCCTTGTTTTCCTCATGGGAACCACCGCGTGTCACTTGTCCTGTAGGGTCAGGTCTCAAGAGGAAAGAGAGTGACAGAGGTGACACCAGCACCGCTTCCCTGGGGCTGTGGCTGGATGTCCCAGCCAGGGCACAGCCTCACTTCTCTACACCTTTCGCACGCAGACCAGGATGGACCGCGAGGGATGGTGCGCGCAAAATGGCAGCTCATTCTGTCCTGGGAAATGGCCTGAGGGGGCTTCAGGGCCTGGGAGAGGCAAGTGGGACTCGCGTACTAAGACTGAGCCACAGCGAGGGGCTGTGCCCACGCCACGCAACCTCAGCTCCCCAGAGCAGCAAGGCCGTCGGGGCCGACTCGGGCAGGGGCGCCCTCGGTTGTCAAAAGACTGTGTCGGATTTGCAGGAAGACCACTCTTCTCACCGTGTCGTATCACTGCTGCTGAGATCAGGTTTTAGCTTCTGCCGTGAGCTGCCAGGGCTGCCCCTGGGGGTCCGAGCCAGACGCCGGCCTGGCCCTCGGTGGCGGGGTGGGTGGGGGGCGGTGTACCCCAGGTGCCCCTGCCTGAGCCCCCGGGCATCCTCGTCCGGCCCTGGGCGCTGGGCGGCCCTGCTCTCTCTCCAGCCTGATCCCTGTGTCTCCTTTCAAGTGAAAACAGCTCTGGGGCGCTTGAGTTTTGTTCCTGGTGGGGAAATGGGGGCCCCCGGGGGGTGAGGAGCAGACACCCTAACAGCAGTGCCTGAGGTATCCCTGGGGCAGGGGTGCCGGACGAGCCCTGTTCCCCCAGACCCTCTGGGCGCGGGTCTTGGGGTCGGCCCGAGGACGTGAAGTCCTGCACGGAGGCCCGCCGGGTGGTGCGAGGGAGCGGCCCCCCCATCCTGCGACTCGGCAGAGTGCGTGTGTGAGACCGGTTGGAGGCTCCCGGAGGCCACAGCACGTGGGGTCTTAGGTGACGGCCGCCTGCCGGCTCCACAGGCGCTGCCTTCCAGCTTGTTGGACAGCTGCCAGGAGGCAGGGAAAGAGCCCCCACGGGGAGCTGGGACCTGAGGGCTGGCCCGGCCACAGCCTTGAGGGCGACAGGCGATGCTGCCTGTCTAGGAAACTTGGGGTTCTTGTGTTAGCAGTGGAACACTCCCCCAAACACTGCTCACACACACTCCCCCAGGTAACAGCGGGGGGTGCTGCCTTGTTGAAGCTGCTCCAAGTGACTGGAGGCCTCACGCTCCACAACCGCAGCAGCTGGGCCCGCCTGCTCTCGCGGAGGCTCTGGGGGGCGCCCTGGGAAGGGCCTCTCTGAGTGTGGCTGCTCTCCGCCTGCGCCCTCTCGGTTGGGGTCTGGCTGCTCCCCTGCTCTGGGTGTTACTGGTCCAAAGCCTGTGAGCTCGTTCGACACTTTGAAAGGCCAGAACTTGCGGGTTTGAAGTCAGGGAAGGCTTCCTGGTCAAGAAGGCTCCCACCTAGAGGTAGGGCCTTAGTGGTGCCTCGAACCCATCCCAACGGTGCGGAGTCCAGGCTGCCTGTGTGTCAGGGGAGGCGGAGGGGGGCAAGGGGACCAGAAAGACCGGTGGGTGCCAGCTGGGGCTTGAGGACGATGGTGCCTGGCGCGTGGAGCCGGCCGGTATGAGTCTGGTCGGGAGGCCCCTGCGAGCCCTTGATGGCCCAGCGTCGTTTCTGTGCGGGCTTCCCTCGTCTCCTTTCCGGGCATCATTTCTGTGCGGGCTTCCCTCGTCTCCTTTCCAGGCGTCGTTTCTGTGCGGGCTTCCCTCATCTCCTTTCCTGTACGGGCTGTTTTTGTAAAACTCGAGCTGCTGGGAGAATTCCTCTAGTGACTAGCATGTCTGTAGGCCACAGGCTCTCGGCCGGAAGGCACGAAGCAGACCGGATGCGCTGGGGCCGCAGAGCAGGCCTTCTGCTGGGAGCGGGTCGGGCCCGCAGGGTGGCAGAGGCCCCGTCCAAATTGCTGTTCCTTCGGGTGTCCCAAGGGGGTCTGAAAGGGGTGCAGCTGAGTGTCATATTTAACCCTGATTAACCATTGTGTGTTGGCAACACCTCTTTTTTTTCTTTTTTGTTGAACTTACTGGGGTGATATTGGTTAATGAAATTGTATAGGTTTCAGGTGTACAGTTCTGTAACACGTCATCTCTGTACGGTACTGTGCGTTCCCCACCCCAAGTCAAGTCTCCTTCCATCACCGTTTCTTATACCATCGTCCACCTCCCCCAAGCCCCATTCCCTCTGGTAATCGACTAAACCTTTTTAAAAAACACTTATTACAAAAGATTGTAGCAAAATACCAAAAAAGGAAAGGGCACAGGATAAGAATGAGGTATGAGATCCTGATCACATGTCTCTGGGGGGCTCCCTGTCCCTCTCCCTGGCAGGTCTCAGCGTGGACCGCCCCTGCGCCAGAGCCACAAAGGTCGACTGTCCGTACCCGCTGTCCCAGGTGACGGCCCGCAACAGCGTGGTGTGGGCGCTGACGGAGCAGAGGGCCCTCCTGTACCGGGAGGGCGTGAGCAGCTTTTGTCCAGAAGGGGAGCGGTGGAAATGCGACATCGTCAGGTATCACCGGGGAGGAGCAGACACCTTCAGCGCCTTGTGTGTCCTGCCCCCTGTGTGTGGTCAGCCGGACCTCCCCCACGGGGCACCCAGGGGAGCCTTCCTGGGCAGAAGTGGCTCCCTGAAGGTGTCCATGGTAAGGCGTTCCCTGGAGAGGGCAGAGCCTGTAGGAGCAGCCTGGCCTTGGGCCTGCTCTCTGCCTCCCTCTGACCGGCAGGCCGGGCATTGGGTCTGTAAACCGCTGCTGCTCTCCCTGTCACCTCGAGCATCGTACGATCGCAAGTCTCCCATGATGGTCTCGTTCCAAACTGCCCTGTGTCGGGTAGTTTCGGTTTAGAATGTCAGGTGGTTTGGGCCCAAATCATTTTCTTTATCATCACCCCAGTCGATTGAAATCAATCTCTGAATTGTAATTTATTTGGTTACTTTGTATCACTCAAAACTTTAATTACAGAATTACCGTCAAATCATTTTGCTAATGTGAAATTATTAATAGTTCTTAAAAAAATTAGGTTAGGATATTGGTTTGCATTTAGTGACCCAGGAAACTTGAGCAAATGCCTGTTGTGAGCCAGAACGGCTGGGCATACAGGTGTGACCAAGCTGCGACCCTGCTCTCAGGAGCTCCCGTTCTCAGGGGGCCTTGTAAACTGATGCCAGTGAGCGCAGACAGTCTGGAACCGGGGACACAGCTCGCAGCCCTGAGGGCACCTGGGCTCCACCCGCAGAGGCGGGCAGGGCACCATGCAGAGGGGACCTGGCACTGAGCCTGGAAGCTGGTGAGGCAGCGCAGGGCGGGGGAGGGCGCAGCGTGTGCCCCGCTGCCGTGGCCTGGCTGGCACGCTGGCGCAGGAGGGCGCCTGCTCACTTTTTTCTTTCGTTATTTTCTCCCAAGAGCTTCCCCCCGTCATTCTTGGTCTTCAGTATGTCTTTCAGAAGCTGGGGCACATTGGAACAATTTATATTGCCCAGTAATTTAAGCCAAAACTCAGGCTTCCCTCCTTGGACCTGGTGGGTGGGGCTCCGACTCTGACTCTGCGCCTCCTTCCTCCTGTCTTCAGCGAAAGGCAAGCTTTGGAGCCCGTCTGCATAACCCTCGGGGACCAGCAGACACTGTGGGCGCTGGACATCCGCGGAAGCCTGTGGTTCCGGACCGGCATCGTCTCCAAGAAGCCCCAGGGGGACGACGAGCACTGGTGGCAGGTCAGTCTCTGTGCCAGCCGTGCGGCGCCCCCCCATGCCCTCTCCTTCCTCAGAGATCGGGAGGTGGGGCCCAATGGACAGGAGTCGCTTCTCCCATTCGATGAGTCAGACTTGGCTGGATCGCGGCGCGTTAGAAATATCACAGACTGTCCATCCTAGGAAGTAACTCGTTAAGCTCTCTCTGCTTCAGTCCCTGGGCTCTGTTTGTTTATTTAGCTGCTGTTGAGAAATCTGCTGTGTGTTAAATAAACCCATGACACCCATTGGAAAACCTGGGTAGTAATGATGTTTAATTCTGAACAAATGTGCTAAAAAAAGAGACCAGACAAATAGGTTTGGAAAACCCAACCCACAATTAAAATTCGTCTGTCTCCGTTCGTTCAATAAAGCCTCTAGGTAGGTGGTATTTCCCATGTGCTCCAGGAAAGGCAAGGCTTCGGGAAATGAAACAGTGTAATCATGCCACCTTTCTGTGACTGGGTGCCAGCCAGAGGGGCTGGAACGCATTTGCGGAAGAGCGTCTTCTTCCCGCTTTGTCACCAGCGTTGTCTGTCGGAGCCCCCGGGCTCCCACGGTGGCGAGGAGGGTGTACTGACCCTCGGCGGCCGAGAAACACGCAGCCTGTCTGCAGTGTTGTCTCCGTGGGTTTGGGTTTCATTGTCACTGTGGACCTGCCTTGTTGCTCAGAGGCCCCTTAGATGATAATGTGCAGAAACGAGGCGTGTTTGCTCCTGGGTGGGTGTGTGCATGTGTACCTGTGTCTCTGATTTAATATGCAGGCACTACTTGAAAAGTCATGCAAATGACTTCAAAATACCTCCTCTGTCCTTGTCATGTGATGCAGTTTTATATACGCACGCACTCACGTGTGTGTGTGCTAAGTTCTGTTTCTGTGTGGCCTGAAGAACGCTGATAGCATTTTATCATATTCCAAACACTATCTTTAGAGAAATTTAATCAGCAGAATCTTTGAGGTATTTGAAAGCAGTTATTTTAATTACTGTGAGATTGAGTCTTTGTAGGCAGTACATGAGAGCCAGTATTATGATTAGCTGCTAAACCTCTCTTTATTTAAATTTGCATCCTGCTTATCTGCAGATTTTGGGTGCTGGGACTGAGTCTGCCACAGACTTCGGTGTGGCCCTGGCAGAGGGCAAGCTCCCTGAGCGGTCAGAGCGGCCAGCGTGCGCCGAGGCCCAGCATTTGGGAGCCCCGCAGCAGGGCCTGGGGGTCCTGGTGGGGCGAAACCATGCTGACGCTCCCTGGGAGGGCAGCAGCTCACCCAGGCACGGAGGGGCAATGCTCGTTTTTACCAGAGTTTCCTTGTTTCTGTGTTCTGTGAATCAAGGTCCCTATAATAAAGGATGTCCTTTCCACCCAGCGCTCCACTATGTGTGACCTGGGCCTGCACTGGGTTGCACTAGGAATAGGGCAGTGACGTCCCCTCTGATCGCACCCAGCAGGGCAGACGGCTGTGTGAAGGTCGGCGCGGTCAGATGTGACCGCCTTTTAGAAAGAGGGGGAGCGGTTCACTGAGAGGGAGGCGCCCTGGGCGTGCGCTTGTGCGAGCGCTGGAGGAGCAAGCGACGGCCTCCGAGCCCGGGCGCCGCCTGCGGCCCGGGCGGCCCTGCATTAGCCTTTCAGCCAAACTGCTAACAGCCCTAGGTTAGACCATAAATTACTTATGGTGCCTTTTTAATCCATATTATGATTCTAAGTATTGGCATTGTTGTCCATGAGAACTACCTAAATTTAAAAGCAAAATAATTCTTCCTCCCTGATGAGAACAGAAGACTGAGAGTGTGTGGGGTGGTGTTCGGTCACATGCTTGTCACAGATCCACATACAGAAATGAGCATGAAAGAAAAGGTGACCATTTCTCCATCCCTCTGATCTGACCCAGGGAGGGGAGGTTCAGTTAGCAGTTTGGCGGTGTCCTGCCGACTTCCCTCGGTCCTCACAATAACGCACACAGGCATGTGCAGTCGGGTGTTTGGTGGACAGGGACCAGAACCCCTGTCTTGGGCAGGGAGCACACAGAGGCTCTGTTGCCGCCCTAGCAGCCAGTGTCCGCCTGTGTCCCCTCCAGGTGAGCATCACGGACTACGTGGTATTCGACCAGTGCAGCCTGTTCCAGACCATCATGCATGCCACCCACTCAGTGGCCACAGCAGCCCAGGTGCCCGTGGAAAAGGTGGCAGATAAACTGCGCATGGCGTTTTGGTCTCAGCAGCTTCAGTGCCAGCCGAGCCTTCTTGGGGTCAGCAACAGCGGCGTCTGGATCTCCTCGGGCAAGAATGAGCTCCATGTCGCCAAAGGGAGTCTCATTGGTGGGTGAATCACTTCGACTTCCATGTGGGCTTGATAGGCCGCTTCCCAGGAGAGCCAGCGTGTAGAGGAAAGCTTTCAGTTCCCAGCCCGAGGAGGGACCCGTGCCGGCGGCCCAGGCGTGTGTCACGCAGACGTTTGGTGCCATGTGCCCTATTCCTTTCTTAGTCTGTGGTTGCCGCACCTGGGAGCCCGCACGGTGTCTGCCTGGTGTGTGAGCAGTTCCCCTGGGGACCTAGTGTGATAATAAATAAATGGAGCTCAGTTTTATGTTAATAGTTTCACATTTAAGTAGAAAAACCCCACCCAAACCTGAAAAGCCTAGGAAGAGAGAGTAGTCCGTGTCCTAGAGGGAAAACCATCACGCTGTTGGAAGTGCAAGACCCTGCCAGACCTGCACACACGGTGCACGTCCGCACGCACCGAGCGGGCTTCATGTCTGTGAACGAAGCCCCGCTGCATGAGTCCTCGCCAGCCCTCCGCCCTGCTCGCTTCCCCGTCCCCTGCCCCCGGCAAGGCCCCAGCACTGCCTGTCCCAGCCTAGAACTAACGCTCTGAAGTGGAGTTTGTTCCTCTTCCTTTAACTCCCCCATCTGTCCCCCCATCTAGGCACTTACTGGAGCAGCGTCATTCCCCGGGGCACAGCCTCCGCAACAAAGTGGGCCTTCGTGCTGGCCTCTGCTTCGCCCACAAAGGAAGGTGCGTGGAGAACACCGCGGCCTGCCTGTGGTCTGCTGGGGTGGGGGCATGGCTTTGTGCGCCTCACAGGCAAGGTGGGTGGTGTCACAGGCAAGTCGCCCTTGTTGGCTGAGCCGAGGGCCCCTGACGCTGTACAGGCCTGACCAGGAGAGAAGGATCCAGAGCAGGGAGGCCAAGTGTGTCTAAAGGCAGAGCGTCCGGACGGCGGGGAGCGCTCGGGTGGCCGCCAGGGCTGGCAGCCAGCGACTCCCAGCGCTGTGTCCCTGGGCCACAGCACAGCAGCCAGGGGCACCCAGCTTCTTTGGGCACCATTCTGTTTCCTCTTGTGAATTCTGTCACCTCCCAGCAGCCTCTTTTCACCTGTTTACAGCGTCTGGCTGGCCTGCGTCCCTCAGTCGTGACCCCTCGGGGCATAGGGCTTGGAGCCAGGGTCTGGGCCGTCGGGTGACCCCTCTGGGGAGGAGCCGACGCCACCCCCAGGACGGCACCGCGGGTCAGCTGAGAAGCTGCCATGCTGCGTGTGGTTCTGGAGAAGCAGTTGGTTTGCTCAAGCATCCGTACCCCGGGCAGTGGGTGGCGTGGTCAGAACAGTAACAGGCTTTTTTGCCAGGTGGTCGTACCCCAGTTCTGAAATCAGTACGCTCCGAAAACCAGAGGTTAGTTCTTGAGTTTGACAAATTCGTTTGGCAGCAAAACCTGGCCTGAGCTGCCACGAGCTGCCGATAGGCCGTGCCTGTCGGCGGACTGTGACCCGCACACTGGGCTGTGGCCGCCACCGCACCTCACCCAGGTGCTCCCTGGCTCCCTGGGGCCAGGGCTCGCAGCCAGGGACCCCACTGCCGGAGGTTTTCAGCAACTGAAGAAATGCCGCATCCCAGAGCCTGCCTGGCCTCGGGTTGGAGATGACATTTTAGACAGTACCTTGTGACCAAGGTCTTAACCTCCCTGAGGGTTACTTGCATTTTAAGCTGAACCTATGAACCGAGGGGCTCTGAAAACAGTGGACGGATGGGAAGAGCCTTGTCCCGCAGCTCCTTACCGTGTGGGCCGCCCTCGCCCACCGCGGCAGGGCAGGGGCACCGTGGCTCTGCGTGGCTCTGCGAGGCCCCGCTGACCCGCGTCCTCCGGGTGCTGATGGGACGCACCAAGCGAGAGGCCTCCGGGCCCGTCGCAGCACGTCCAGGTCAGAGCGGCCAGGCCAGCATCACAGCCTTCGCAGAACCTCATAAGCCCTGCTTTCCTGCATTTCTTTCAAATGTCTCGGGCTTGTCTCTTGCTAAGTCACAGGGTGTCCCTCCGACTAACTGAAAGCACAGAGCACTTCCGTGAGCACGAGGTGGGCGAGTGTGGGAGCCGTCAGGTGGCAGCCGCCTGAAGGCAGACTGCCTGGTGCTGGCCTCAGCAACACCCGTGACCCTTTTCCGCAGGAAGCTCCCTGTGGCTGTGCCAGGGCAGCAAGGACCTGTGCACCGTCAGCGCCCAGCACGCTCAGTCCCGCCCGTCCACCGTGCAGCTGCCCCCCGACGCCGAGATGAGGGCCTACGCCGCCTGCCAGGATGCACTCTGGGCGCTGGACAGCCTGGGCCAGGTGTTCATCAGGACGCTGTCCAAGAGCTGCCCCACCGGCATGCACTGGACGCGGCTGGACCTCTCCCAGCTAGGTATGCCTCTCCGCGCTGCGGCGGCCTTTATGCCATATCCACATGTGACTGCTCACGACAGTTCCCCCTGCTACGGTTCCCCATGTCAGTCAACTGACGGCCCATATTTTTATGTTATAAGCATTTGATGTTTGAGAATTTACCCACATGTACTCATCCACACACAGAATGGAGGGGCGGGGGAGAGAAAGCAGGGAAGGAGTGAGGGGCGTGCTGTCCGCTGAATCTCCAGCAGCCAGGGGCCACTCACCTCCCCCCCCAAAGCTGGCCCAGCCCACGTGGCTCCTCCAGTGGCCATGCAGCGATCTGCTCAGTCTCTCATCCAGCCAGGCCCCCTGCATCCTGCAGCGCAACCAAAGAAGCAGGTTGGTTCTCATCTGGACAGATCAGCTCTGTCGAAAGCACGGCATTTTCCAGGGTCATTTTGATCCCTTGTGCTTTTGGCCTCACACACTGCCCTTTGAACCTAATCCCAGTACCAGGGCCGGTCACCTTGCAGCTTCTGAGAGCATGTGCCAGCCGTCTTTACTGACGGTGACTGACCCGGTGGGGCTATGGCCGGTCGTGGCCCTCCCGCCTGCCCCAGGAGGCCTTTCATTTGCTCAGAGCGCCCGCTGGCCAGAGCCCGGCTCCAGCAGCCCCCGCTCTGGGGAGGCACCAAGGTCATGGCGTGGCGTGTGCCCACCCCCTGCTGAGAGCCCGGGAGGCCCTGCCGGGGGCACATTCTGGCTCAGAAGCAGAGCTGTTGCCCTGGCACAGCCTCTCTGTGGAGGCTGTCGTTCTGCAGTGGGGGCAGAGCGGGCGCTGTGCCTGCTCCACGTATGGAGGCAGCTCTCCCTGGCCTCCTGGCGCCGGTGTCCCCAGGGCCGTGGCCGTTCCTCTGGGGAGAGACTCGGCTTTGGTGGGTCAGAGTCTGCATTCGAGAGCGGGCGAGAGCCAGAACAGGGCCCTCCTGAGCCCAGCACGTGCTCCGCCGTCCGAAAGCACACGCAGTGGGCACACGCTGCAGGAGCGGAGGGGCCAAGCCACCTGCCTCGGCCTGTGACATCGCCCTGGGCGGGTCAGCGCCAGAGTCCGGCCAAGGCTTGAATGGGCCCTGCAGACGGCAGATGGCGGGCGGCCAGCCTGGGCACAGGACTTCCGGCAGAGGCTGTGCCGGCTGCGCACAGAGCTGGGCCTGGGCGAGCTGCTGGCTGCCCTCCCCACCCAGTTCCTCACCTTTCTGTGGGGAACAGCAGTGCCCGCGCGAGGGGGTGAGAGCAAGCCTCCTGCGTAAGCGGGGGCTGTCCCCAGCAGGCGGGGCACGCCCTCGGAGCCCCTTGCCAGCCCTCATCCGCTGCACAAAGGCACCCCCTTGGGTTTAACGGTGTGCGTGCTGGGGTGCTCACAGGAAGCACTGCCCGGCCTTGTCTTGATCCCGCTCGGAGCCCCAGGGTCTGTTAGCTTACCTGGGTGGCCGGCTGGTACTGAAATGACAGGTAAAGACAGCTTTCTGCACTTTGTGAGCTCCCAAGTCCAGGACTGTGGGTTTGGTGCTGGGGGTGGGAGGGGTGCTGACCCCCGCTGTGCCAGGGTGGGGCAGCGAGAGGGGGGCAGGGCCACCAGGTGTTCCTTCAGCGGGTTCCCTCCAGGTAGGGTCTGTGTAGCACGTGGGACAAGCAGGTGAATCAGGGTTTTCTAATTATGGTTTAAACTGGGGGCACGGGCTGTGAGTTGAGGCGCGCGCCAGGGTGGGCTGTCCTCAGGTGCACGCGCCAGCAGTGGCCGGCCGCGCTGTCGTGGGGAGCGCTGCCGCGGCCTGTGGCGCTCTGCTGGGCCGGCCGGCCGGCCCGCCGCACTGCCCCGTGTGCGCTGGCCTTGGCGGCGCTCGCAGCGGCAGGAAGGACTCCCCCGCACGTGAGGGCCCTGTCCTGGTCAGACTTGTCTGTCCCATGCACGCCCCTCCTGCCGGCACCCCTGTGGACAAGGCGGACTCCGCCCCCCCCGCCCCCTCCCCGAAGAGGCTGTCAGCGTCTCTTCGTCTGTGTCTGCCTGGGGCTCTCTGGCGCTGTCTCGCCACGGCGGCCCTCCCACCCCTGCCGGGGCAGAGCACCTGCGCTGCCCCTGTACCGCCCATGGCACCAGGTGTGCCCTTCCCCAAAGCGCCGCTCCAGGGGCTGTGCCCTCTACGATCAGTGCCTCATGTCACCCTGAGAATCGGGTTCCTGTCTCCAGGCCGCACCTGGGGCCCCTGCAACCGGGCCTGGCCTGCCTTTCCCGGGCACTGCCCCCCTTCCTTCTCCCCACGGCCTGGGACGTCCTCCCTGCTCTGTCCTCCCTTCAGCTCTCCCTCCGCAGACCTCAGCTGAGACTGTCCCTCCCCTTGACTCTCTCCGTCAGTGTCTCTTGCCCGCTGTGTCCCCTGAGCGGTGTGTGCCTGCTCATAGTCACCTCAGGCAGACTCACATGATGTTACACCCAGTGGGTGGGGGACTCTGTAGGCAGGGACCGCATGCTGGGCCGCGTTCCGGCCCCTCAGGAAGTTGAACTGTCAGGCACAGATGTCGTTATGTGCAGCTCCATTTCTAAGTAGTCCTGGCATAGGAGTTTCATTCCTCATTGCTGATAGTCATAAATAAAACGGCCTGCCGCCAAGGCACGAGGCGCTGCCGCGCCTGGTGCAGCGGTTGCCACCAGCCTGCCCAGGGCGAGCGGCGGGCGGTGCCGGACTCATCAGAGCTGTTGAGAGACGTGTTGAGCCCCTTCTTCTGTCACCCTCTGCAAGTGCTCCGGCTCTGAAAACATTAAAGTGGAAGCCTGTCTTCCAGTGCCAACAACGTAAGCCCAACAACCTCGTGCTAGATCGACCTTGAGCAGTGCAAGGTCATTGTGAACTCTGGAATGTTGCTGGTCTTTTTGCAAACAGAAGTTGCATTTTCAAGGATGACTTTAGCAAAGTGTCAAGTCATGAACACAATTTCTACCTTCAGTTTCTCCTTGAAGACATAGCAGCCCCCCTCTCTGCCCTGTACAGACTGCCACATCAGTCGCTGCTTTCAGGCGGAATGAAGGGGATTTAAAATGTCCAGCTGTTGAACCCAGTTACAAAGACAACAGGGAGGCTGCTGTTGATTACAATCACAGTTTTTGGAAGGAAATACGTGTCATTTGTGGACATTCAAGATGGCCTGGCACGCAGACGGGAGTCACGTCAGGCACTGGGGGGGTCGGCATGGAAGCACAGTCTATAACCGCAGCTCGTCTGGCCTCCGTGTTGGGTGAGGGACGCCTCGGTGGCAGCTCAGGCCTATAGATGACAACAGAGCTGTATCACACAGTAACTTATGCAGAAAAGTGTTTTGTAAGTAGGAAAACACCAAAGAGATGCCACTTTTTGTTAAGGGAAGATGTCTGACCTGTTGAATAAAGTAATTAAAACTTTTTTTAATGGGAAGGAAAAACAAAACAGAAAGAGGCAGAAAAACCGCCGTGGGTCTGGTCGCCAGGCTCACAGCGTGGCGAGCCCAATGCCCGCGACTCGACCGGGCACGCTGCCTGCCTCCCCCCACTCCCAACCCACCCCCAGCTTGGCTCTCGCCTTGTCAGTCTTTCAGGAGCATTGTCCCCTCCGCGGAAGCTTTGCTGATGCCACTGTGGTGCTCTGGCACTAGCATCTCGGTCCCTGCAGCAGGGGACAGCTGAGAAGCCCTGGGCCAGCTCTGGTGCTTCAGCTCAGAAGGGACAGGTCGCTCCTGCTCTCAGCTCATTGGCCAGATGGGGCCCCGCCGAATGCTGAGGGATGAGAGAGCCACGTACTGTTTGGGGGGCAGCGGAGTCTGCCTCCCGTCTAGGCCGGCCCCTCTGTGGGACACCCAGCAGCCTTGGAGGCCCGCCACAAGGCAGGAAACTGCAGGAAAGCCCTCGCTGGAACGTTTTCTCCTTCGATCTGTCTCCTCAACCCTCCGCAGTTCGTGTTCCAGCAGCCTTTTGTATTTGCTCTAAAAGAATGTTCAGCCCTGGCTGGCATGGCTCAGTGGATTGAGCACCGGCCTGCAAACAAAAAGGTTGCAGGTTCAGTTCCTGGTCAGGGCACAGGCCTAGGTTGCAGGCCAGGTCCTCAGTAAGGGGTGCAAGAGGCAACCACACACTGAGGTTTCTCTCTCCCTCTTTCTCCCTCCCTTCCCTTCGCTCTAAAAATAAATAAGTAAAATCTTTAAAATAAAAATAAAAACAAGTTCTCCTTGTGATGGGAACACTGTGTCCTGGCAAGTGCCTCCGTACCCGCTCTGCAGAGGGGATGCCTCGGTATGTTCCTGTGGCCACATGACTTTTCACAGGCGCGCTGCTACGGCCAAAAGTTACTTTTCAATTAGCATTTGTTTCTCAGCTGCTTCTGGGGCTTACTGCTGAAGCTACTTTATTTTGATTGGTACAAATCTTTTCATATGTAATTTAGAGACCTAGGGAGTCTGTTTGAACTCCCTGGTGAGACATTCTACAAAAGAGTAAGGTAGGAAAAACACACGTAATTTCACTGTCAGAAATCACTGTCTTCAGGAAATGCACAAAGGGACCAGGGACTTTTGTGTAGCAGGAGTTAGTACTTTTAAGCTTGTCTCATGCCAAAGGCACATGACGAGATTGCCACATAGCAGGACCCGTGCCAGTTGGTGCAGACACGCGGGCTGTCATCTGATGCCAGTGACACCTGGGTGGGGTGGCCCAGAGCAGCGCGGCCAGCAAGCCCGGCCGCACCACCCTTTCCCCAGTGTGCGGCCAAAATGACCCGTCCTCTGACCCAGTCCGCATGGGGCAAACCGTTCAGCCTGGAAAGTGGGCTAAAGACTTGGGACACTCCCGAGGCAAGATAGGCGGTTGCCCAGCAAGCACGTGAGAAGGTTCTCACCTCCACCAGCTGCCGGGGAGTCAAATGCGAGTTACACCCGTGACAAGCTGCCGCCTCACGCCCACCGGAATGGCTGACGGAAAAGGTGCCGCAGCGGGGTGCCGGCGAGGGTCACGGGGAGCTGGGGGCGCTGGCAGGTTCGTACAAAGTTGAATGTACATCTACCCTGTGGCGCGGCAGCTCCACTCCTACATATTACTCAGGAAAAAAGCACATGTTCCTGAAAAGTCTTCCACAAGAATGATCACGGCCGCTTGTAATTGCAAGAGCTGAGCAGCTGAACTAACCGCAGTGCTCAGTGCAGCAGAGAAGCCCTCAGCTGTGAAGAAGGGCCTGAGCGGGGGGAGCCGCCCCCACGTGCGCGCCCGTGACTGTTTCCGTGGATGGCGGCCCCCAGCTGGACTCGCCTGGCTGAGGGAAATCGGGGGAGTGGCCGGAAGGGGCCCGTGGAAGGTGGGTCACCCGGGCACACCGTCTGTAGGCGCTGGCTGGTGTAGAGGAGCCGGGCCGGCCGGGCTCCGGCCCTCCGTGCCACCTCCGCCTCCGGGCTCTGCCATGCACGCGTCAGGGAGCCTTGGGGGGACGGCTCCGTGTCTGAGTCCCCGTGGCTTTGGGGGACCGGGATGCTGACAGGCTGTGCTGCAGCCGCAGCTGGTCGGCCACGGCTGCTGCGGCGCCTCTGCCAGGTCAATGGCCAGTCAAATGCTGTCTCTGCGGAGGCTCCTCCTGCTTCCCTTCCTCTTAGAATTGGCCCAGCCAGCAAGGAGAACTGCAAACAGACAAGCGAAGACTTGGGGAGGCTGCGCTAGTTCACCTGGATTCCAATTAGGATCGGTCTTACCCATAAAGAGGGCTTCCTCTCCCCGGACCCAGGATCTGTCGGAAGGGGTCACGTATCTGATGGAGGGAAAAATGGACCCAAGTGGAGATAGCGGTCCCCATGCTCGGCAGCTCGGGGCGCTGCCTGGCCCATGGCGCAGAACAGCTGCTGTGTGGCACCTGGCGGGTGGCAGGGCAGCCAGAGGCCTTGGTCGCTCTCCCCTCCCCTCCCTTTGCAGTATAAAACCAGAAATGACAGAGTCTGTGAAAGATCAGTCGTTTTGCAACAGCTGTCTGTGTCTGTGAGCTTCTTTCCCTTGTTTGCAGGAGCGGTAAAACTGACCAGCTTGGCGTGTGGAAATCAGCACGTGTGGGCCTGTGATTCCCGGGGAGGCGTGTACTTCCGCGTGGGAACCCAGCCTCTAAACCCCAATCTCATGCTTCCAGCCTGGATAATGATCGAGCCACCCGTCCAGGTGAGTTCAAGTCGACTGATGCCACTTGCTCCTCGGTAAGACAGAAGCCATCGGCGTGCTGCTGCTGGGAAGGCGCCTCGGCTGCACAGCGGGCCTCTCAGCGGTGGGGGCAGCGGCATGCGCCTGCAAACAAGGGGCCTGATCGTTGGCCTCCCAAAGCTGGAATTTGATGTTTGTGGAATTTAGAGCTGAACAGAGTATTAAAATACTCTGCCAATTAAAATTGCGTCAGCCAACACTGAATTCCGCCCCGCTCCAAAACAGTTTGTTTCTAACTTTTTACAAAATGAGCATTTTTTTTTAAGAAAATGCATGTTCAAAAGTGTAGGAAAGAAAGTAAAGGTCACTTAAAATCTTTCATGGAGATAATCTATTAGTATCAGCATTTTGTGAATGTCTTTCTTGGTTTATTCAAGAAATTCTATTTCCCATTGTCCTCTGTGTCCTGTTTCAATGTACAATGTATTCTGTCTGCCACACGGTCTGTGGGACCAGCCTGGTTCACGTCTCCATCCCCCCTACCAGTCTTGATAGGTGGAGGTTTCTTCTCTAATTCCGTAGTTGCAGTCAGCTTGATTTCCGACCATTCTGAATGATGGTTGTTCTATAGTTTAGTTGTAATTTTGATATGGTTGTGCAAGGAGGCAAGCTGTGTTTACGCTACCATCTTGATGGGAGGTCCTACGATGTATTCTAAATGTTTTCTTCTGCTCTTGATTGTTCCACCACTGGATCAGAAGCAGAAGTCTGACTTCAGTGCACTATTTAATTACCCTTAAAGATCTAAGGGGCCCTGGCTGGTGTGACTCAGTGGATTGCGCGTCATCCTGCAAACTGAAAGGCTGCTGGTTCAGTTCCTGGTCGGGGCACAGGCCTGGGCTGCAGGCCAGGTCTCCAGGTGGGGGCATGCGAGAAGCAACCAGCCTATGTTTCTCTCCCTCTCTTTCTCCCTCCCTCCCCTCTCTTTCAATATAAGTAAATAAAATCTGAGTTTAAAAGTGAGCTACCATTAAAAAAAAAAAAGCCAATTGGCCTGGTTGCTATGCTAAATATATTTCTGTTGATATTTGCAGTAACTGTGCTGCCAGTCCTCCTCGTATGACTTTGTTGTCGGAGGAAACATGAAGTTGCCACATGCAGAGGCAGCAGCAGAGCAGGAGTGGGTTGTCTTTGAACAACAACAAAAAATGCTTGAACGGGACAAGAAGAAAACCAAGGGTTTGGTAAAGGCCTGTGTTAAGGACCATCTACATTTTGGGCATCATAACCATTGGGTGGGGCAACAGAGGTCAAGGGGCAAGGCGTGGGGCCAGACACGAGGACCAGCGGTGCTGCCCCTCAGACCTGGCGTGTGTGCGGGGAGGGCCATGGATGGAACGGGTCGGTCTGGAGTTCTTTCAGGCCCCCAGTGAGTGGTCAGGGCCGCAGGGAGGCTCCGTGTGGCTCTCCCCCTTCACGGTGTCCCAGAGAGAGGGAGCGCAATGCTGCGTGTGACGGCCCTGCATGCGCTAGCGCTGGGCAAACAGGAGGTAACAGAATGAACCAGGACGGACGTGCGCTCGCTTCCTCTGCACGCGGGTGCAGCGCGCCTGGCACAGGTGGCGCACAGTGACGGCGAAAGGCAGGCCGGCGGGCTCCACTCCACGCCTGCTCTCGAGTTCTCTGTAGATAAGGCACCTCTTGTCACCGGACTCCCTGGTGCGTCTCGGTCAGCACCTTCTTTTTTTTTTCCCTCTAACCATTGTGTATTACTTTGTTAGAGTATAATTTGCCCTTTTACAGAAAACAACTCAGGGGTTTTTAGTATATTGACAGAGTTGTGCAACAATCACTACTGTCCAGTTGCAGAACTCTTCATCACCCCTGAACGAAACGCGGTGCCCAGGCCGTCACTCCCCTTCCTCCCGAACGCCCACACCCCTCAGCCTCCGGCAGCCGCAGAGCTTCTCCCTGCCGCCGTGCCTTTCCCTCTTCCATGTGAATGGACCACACCCTGCACGGCCTCGTCCACCCTGTCACTGAGCGTGTTTTCTAAGTGTTCAGTTAATGGTATGGCAAGTATCTGTATTTCATTCCTCTTTTTCTTTTTTTAAAGATTTTATTTTATTTTATTTTTTTTTTAGAGAGAGAGGGGAAGGGAGAGAGAAAGGAGAGAACATCAAAGTGTGGTTGCCTCTTGTGCGCCCCCCACTGGGGACCTGGCCCACAACCCAGGCCTGTGCCCTGACTGGGAATCAAACCGGCGACCCTTTGGTACTCAGGCCGGCGCTCAGTCCACTGAGCCACACCAGCCAGGGCTCATTCTTCTTTGTGACTGAACAATATTCCATTGTGTGGTGTTACCACATTTTGTTTTTCCATTCATCAGCTGGTAGACATTGGGGATGTTCCTACTTCTTGGCTGCTGTGAACATTCATGTGTGGTCTTTGTTTGGGCGTGTGTTCTCAGTTCTGTTGGGTACATAACTTTAAGTGAAATTGTGGGGTCATATGGTGATGGTATGTTTACCTTTTCTTTTTTCAAGATTTTTTAAAAATTATTTTTAGAGAGAGGGGAAGGGAGGGAGAAGGAGAGGGAGAGAAACATCGATGTAAGAGGGAAACATCAATGTAAGAGAGAAACATCGATCAGTTGCTTCTCATACACCTGCTGACTGGGGATGGAACTCTCAACTCAGACATGTGCCCTGACCGGGAATTGAACCAGCGACATTTAGGTTTGTGGGATGACCCCCAACCCACTGAGCCACATCAGTCAGGGCCAACAGTTTTTATTTTGATGAAGTCTAATTTATCGATCTTTCTGTTTAGTTGTAGTGCTTTGGGGTGCTAAGAACCATTGCTTACTCATAGGTCAAGAAGAATCATACTTACATTTTCTTCTAGAAGTTCTGTAGTTTTAAAATCAAGAGATATTTGATTCATTTTGAGTTATTTTTTGTATATGGTGTGAGAAAGTCGTCCAAATTCATTCTTTTACAGGTGGATATCCAATCACATCAGCACCATTTACAAAAAAACTGTTCTTTCCCCATTAAATTGCCTTGACAGATTTGTTGTAACCAACTGATCATAAGTGTAAAGATTCGTCACTATACTCTTAGCTCTATTGCGGTGTTCAGTGGGCATGTCTATCATTATGCCAGTAGCACACCGTCCTGATTATATAACTTTGTCATAAATTTTGAAATTAGGAAGTGATTTCAAAATTTTCTTTTAAGATTGGCTTGGCTATTGTGTATCCTCCTTATATCCACGTGAATTTTAGGATCAGTTTGTCAATTTCTGCAAAAAAATAAAAAATAAAAAGTCAGCTGGGATTTGGATCAAAACTGTGCTGAATCTGTAGATCTACTGGGGGCACTGCCCTCTTATGGCATCAGGTCTTCCTGCTGGGAGCGTGGGTGTCTTCGCATTTACGTGGACATTCTTTAACCTCTTTCAGCAGTTGTATAGTTTCCAGAGTATACATTTATATTACTTTTGTTAAATTTATTCCTAAGTTGTTTATGCTATTGTACATGGGATTGTTTTTTAAATTCCATTTTCAGATTGTTCATTGCTAGTATAAGTTTTTATATGTTGATCTTCCGTCTGGAATCCTTGATAAACTTAATAGTTTTAATAACTTTTTTCTAGACCCTTTAGGATTTCCTATATACATGGTCATGTCTACAAACAGAGGTAATTTCACTTTTCACTCTCCTACCTGGGTGTCTTTTATTCCGTCGCCTGGACTCACCGCCCTGGCGGGAACCTCGTGTAGGGTGTTGAGTAGCGCCAGCAAGAGTGGATGTCCTTGTCCTGTCCCGATCTCAGGAGGAAGCGCCCTGCGTTTCACCATTAAGTGTGCTATTATTGGCTATGGGTTGCCTTTTTTTTTTTTTTTTTTTTTTTGGAGAGAGAGAAGGAAAAGGAGGGAGAAAGAGAGAGAAACATTAATATGCAAGAGAAACTTAATTGGTTGCCTCTTGCACACTCACAACTAGGGACCTGGCCCGAAATCCAGGCCTGTGCCCTGATTGGGCATCGACCCAGAGACCCTTCGGCTTGCGGATGCCGCCCGACCCACTGAGCCCCAGCAGTCAGAGCAGGCTGTAGGGTTTTTTATAGCTGCCCTTTTGCAAATCGAGGAAGGTCCCCTCTATTCCGAGTTTGTTGGATGTTTCTTAGCATGAAAGGGTGTTGGATTTTATCAAGTGTTTTTTTTTCTGCGTCTATTGAGACGATCGTGTGGGATTTACTTTTATTAACATGATGTATGAAATTGTGTGTGTGGGGCCACCGTTTATTTCTGGGGTAAATCCCACTTGGTCACGGTGCACAGTCCTTTATGTGGCTGGACAGGTTTGCTAGTGTTTCGTTGATGGTTTTTGTGTCCATGTTCATAAGGACGATTGGCCTTTGCTTTGCTTTTCTTGACACATGTTTGTCTGCTTTTGGCATGAGGGCCATGCAGGCCTTTTAGATGAGTGGAGAAGTGTTTTTTTCCTCATATGTTCTGGAAGAGTTCTGAAAGATTGGTATTAATCATTCTTTAAGTGTTCGTTAGAATTTATTAGTGTAGGTTTGGGTTTTTCTTTGTGGACTTTTTTTTTACTGATTCAGTCTCTTGTTATAGGTCATTCAGAATTTTTTCTGTTTTTTCTTGATTCAGTGTGAACAGTTTACCTCTTTCTAGGAACATGTTCATGTCATCTGTGTTGGCTAATTGATTCACCTCCAGTTGTTTCTGTTTTCCCTTGTAACCCTTATTTCTGTAAGGTTGGTAGTAACATACCCTCTTTCCTTTCTGATTTTAGCAGTTTGAGGTCTCTTTTTTTCTTGGTTAATCTAGCTAACGGGCAGACAGTTTTGTTAATCTTTTCAAAGTCTGTCTTTTGGTTTTGTTGATTTGTCCCCTTTTTCTGTCTCTGTTTCATCTATTTCCACTTCAGCCTTTTTCATCCACACTTTCTTGCCACAGCGCTTGGCTCACTAGCGATTCAGTCTCCGACGGC